AATAAGGACAGCAACATAATTTCCCTATTCTCAGGACCGGTGGGAGTGGGGGATTCCACAAGGGCAGAAATCCTTGCTGCAGTACAAGGAATTCAAATCGCCAACCAGCTTGGGGTGGAGCATCTCCTAGTTGAAGGGGACTCTCAGGTGGTAACAAGGTGTCTCCTAAACTTGGATACCACCATCTGGGGCTACAAAGATCTCATMAAAAAAGTAAAGTGGTTAACTAGCAATATGAGAGTTGAGGTAAAATGGGTTAGTAGGTCTGCTAATTCTTTGGCTGATGCTTTAGCCAAACAGGGGGTTTCTAGGGAAGATCTTTTTTGTGCTTCTATGTAGGTTGTTATTAATTTGGAAATCTGTACTTAACTAGCCCGGAGAGGTTGCAACTCGTGCCTTTCCTTGGGGACTTTGTACTATTGTCTATTGCTGATTAATAAAATTATTTCAATTATAAACAAAAACATGATATTTACTTGGACTGAGATGTAGGAGATGGTGTCTGATGCATGTTGGTATGCTAGACATATTAGAATAGCAATTCTATTCTTGATGTTTAAAATGTAAAATGTGTAAGATATAAAAGCAATGAAAATGATTTAAGGTTATCTTTCATGAATTCTTATTTGTATTTCTATTTCATATTTACATATACTTTTGGTGATTATATTTAGATTAATTAATATAGAAAATTGGAAGTAAGTTGTTGCGACTCCATAGAAGGCTTCAATCATTCTGTGGATATTGAAGGTGAAAAGTTATATTGTGGAGACTTATTGGATGAGGTTGAATAGCTCACTGCAAGAGGTTTTTTTTTTTTTTAAGGGATTATGCACCATAGGAAGGTTTTATATAGAAATTTTATGAGAAACATAGGAGAAAAAGGAGAAATTTACATCCCCCACAAAGGAATGTAAGCAGTAATATAGCTGGGTGAAGAGAAGTGCTAACTCAATGGCTGATGGGTTAGCTAAGCAAGGGGTGGCTAAGGATTCTTTGTCATTTTGAAGTTGGGGAGTTAAGATAGCATACCTCCCCTTTTTCTGTAATTAAATTTCACAAGTATTATTCATTAATAAAGCTTTCTGTTATTGATAAAAAAATGTAAGCAGTAATATACACAAAGGAGAAATTTATATCTCATTTGTCCCAACTCTCCCTGTAAATTGTCTTATTGTGAATGCTGACCATGGCTTCTATCTGAATGACACTCGTTCTGGAGGACATGGCATGAGCTTCTCTAATGTAGTGGCATATGGACCAAGGAACCTCTACTCTCCTGCTTCCAACTGACAACAACTTGGGAGTCACCCCAAGTCCATGTTATTCTTTTGAGCACTTGTTGGTGCACTAGGGTGTAAACTCTAATCAAGTCTCCCAACCCAATTGGTTTGTCAAGGCATCAAGGTAAGCCTAGGTGATAAGAGAGTGCTTTGTCTTAGTGATATTTTTTTATACAAAAAATCTGATTAGTTTGAACTTTGTTTCCTTGGCTTTTTTCTGAATTAGGTTGTTTCTCTAGTTGAAGTAGCAACCAACACTAAAGGTAATCTAACATGAAAGAATCAAGCATGGTAGAATTAATAGCCTATAGAAAAGTTAAATTAGAGAGTGGAGCTTTATCATGCAAGAGGAATATGTAAAGAGGATAAATGTGTTTGTGATAAAATGAAGAATGACAAAAGAACCAAAAGGATGGATCCCTTATGATGTTGTATGCAGTAGAGTACAGAGAAAAGAATTAAGAATTTTAGCTTTTATTGACCGTCATTCACTAAAAAGAGAGTTTAGTTAAGAATTAAAATACATATTAATATGACAAGCACTTTAGGGTCTGGCATTGTGGTGGATTTGTAGTCATTACAAACTAATGGCTAGAGTTCAAAACCCTTTTCTCCTACATGTGATTTTTAATAAGCAAATTTAGTGGCATGTCAAATTCAAATTCGAATTTGAACATTGCCTTAAATGTAGTATTTAATTTGCGATTAATGTTGTGTCATTAAATGTGATATAAATTAAATTTGAATGTGAAAAATTACTAAAATTGAGAGAGAAAGAGGGAAATAAAATTTGATATTTAAAAGTTGCCAAAATTAAATTTGATTTGAGAACATCAGACTGTATTGGGCTTGTATCAGCCAATACAAACCCGAAATAGTCGACTACAGGTCCGTATTAGAATGATGTTAATGAAAAGAAACAAAACATACAGATTCTGTATGCTTTTTGTATCGGGCCCTCGACAAAATACAATGTACCGGCTGATTACAGAAAAGGGGAAAAAGAACAAATGGAGGGGCAAAGCTCTTGATTTGCCATAGAGAAAGTTGATGATGCTTTGTTTTGCTTTCACAAATTGTGAGAGAAGAAGACAATGAGGTCTCTTATTACATGGTGAAAGCTAGTTGAAGCCATACTATAGTGAACGCATTACTTTTTTTTGATCAATAACTCACAGATTTTATAAAAATAGATAAAAAACACAGGTACAAGAGTAGGAAGATAAACACTCTTATCTCACCATACAGAACAACAAAACAAAAAGACAGTTACAATATAGCCCAAAACAAAGAGTCCTATAAACCCCTTGTTTAGCTAACCCATCAGCAAAGGAGTTAGCACTTCTCTTAACTCAATTTACCTTCACCTCAATGTTTTTTGTTAACCATTTGAATTTCCTCTTTTCATTGCTGTAGTTCCAAAAGTTAGCAGACTCATTTCTCAGCCAGTCCACTACCAATTTAGAATCGTCCTCTGACTAAATTAGTGATATTCAGGTCGATTGCCCTTTTAGTTCCTTCAATAACAGCTGGAATCTCAGCTTTCAGAGAATCACCCAAACCGATTGGTCCCGAAAATAGAGCGATTATCACTCCCTCATTCCTTAAGACACCCCCAATACCTGAAGGACCCGGATTACCCATGCTGTTTCCATCAAAATTAAGTTTAATAAACCCTCTAGGAGGAGTCCAAGCAGGGATGGAAGTGTCTTTGACCAGATCTGAACTTGCAATTTCCTTCCAATTTCCAAGCAGATCATCCACTGAAAAATCTTTAAAGAGACCCAGAGACTTCAGCCAGTGAACCGCTCTAATCCAGAATTTCTGACAGTCTTCTTTCCCTATCTGAGAAAATTCTCCCGTTTCTTTCTTCCCATATTGTCCAGCAAATAGCAGCCCTGAGACATCTCCACATAACTTTTTCTCTTTTTGTCGACCAACTAAACAAGGAAGGAGCAAAGAGACTTTGTACATCTGGTGGAGGAGACCAACTGCGACCAAACAAAGACACATTACTTTCCTATTGCTATTCTGGTTTGCCTTAATGTTCTCTCTTTCTCTCTCTCTCTCTCTCATTGCTGGGGAGGTTATATTAAAGTTTGAGGTTGTGTATCAATTATGTGTTAAAATCCCAAAAATGAAGCTTTCAAGGGTTTCTCTGGTGTTATTGAAGGACCATTACCCAATGTTGGTCCCTATTACTGAGGGTATTGGGAGGGATGGGCCTGGTAGAGGCCTAATTTTTGCCACTTTTGCACAAGGTAGTTTGAATTAGTGTTGCCACACTTGCCAGTCCAAGATTTTACAATTGGACCTAATCAACAGCCACTGATTTTTCTGGCTTTCCTATCATGAAATCCTGTACAGTAGAAAGCTGATGTTTACTTTGAGACTTACAAGTTGTGGTCCTCCTTCATTCTCCCTGGTTATGGCAATCTCTTCCAGAGCAATAGATTAGGCATGCATCCTGGATGGGTTCCTTTGAGACTTGTTAGTCCGGTGATTACTCCATTCACGTTGTTCTTATTTAAAGCCACAGAACAATCATTTGAGGTATAGGTGATTTTTTAATCAGTAAAGAAAATTTTTATTAATAAAAACAGGAAATATTCAAAGAAGATTCCCAAAAGGAGGCACGAGATGCAGCCTTAGAAGCAACTCAAATTACAACTGGACCCAAAACATTTGTTCCCTATGCACCTCATGCTTGATAAAGTAGTCTGCTATCGTGTTAGCTGTCCTCCTTTGCCAAAGGTTCCTTATATCATGGTTTTGAAAATTGGACCGGACTGGATGGCCGGACCATTTGACCCGGGAATTGGTCATGGCTCCGGGTCCGGTTTTGGACCCCAATACTGTTTGATTGGGGTTTGGACCAGAGGCACAAGAGTCGGGTAAGGAAGGGTCCAAAACAACGGGCTCAAGAATTTTCAAGTTTAAAGCAACCTGATCAAACTCATGATCCCTTAAATTTCGTCTGAATCCTAGGTCCCAATTGATACCAGTTGAAGGGGAAAAGGAGGCAAATCTTTGGACAGGTTCATTTTTAAGCAAGGAAAGGGAATGCAAAGAGGAAAAAGGTCCTCAAGAGTAGAGTTATCTCCAGTACATGCATCATACCAGATAAGGCTTAGAAATTGAGATAGCATGCTACGATTGGCTTTCCACAGTGAAGACAGAGTAGCCCTTTGAGATAGACCAGCATCCCAACCATTACCTGCTCTTTTATGCCTACTTTCCACCACTTCATGCCAATGACTTCTCCTTTCCAAAGGCTATCTCCATAACCAATCTAACAATGCTAAATTCTTTTTTCCGAAATTCCATATGCCCAATGCCCCTTGCTCCTTGCCTTTACACACTATTATCCCATTTTATGAAATGATCCTTCCTACCCTCACCTGGCTCCCACAAAAAGTCCCTCATAATTTTCTCCACTTTCAATACATCCCTTCATGGCATTCTAAAGACTAAAAGGTAGTAGACTGGCAAATTTGCTAGTGGATTTTATCAGCGTTATCCTTCCTCCTAAGGCTATCTCCATAACCAACGTAACAATGTAATTCCTGTTCCACACTGCCAAACGTTTAGCACATTTTTCTACTATGGGTGCCTAAGAGATATAGGTGATTCTCTTCCCTAATCTCTTGGCTGTTCTTTTAGTTTTCACTAATATAATTTACATATGCAACAGTCCACTAATATAATTTCATTGGTGAAAATAATTAAAAATCTTGTTCTGTCTTCATGTTCCGGAAGAAGTATCTTTGAAGTGTTATATTTTTCATTAATTCTTAGTTGGTATATCTTTATTTTTTCAAATTTCTCTTTGGATGCTCATGTGATGACTGATGAGCCAGGGTTTATGTTTTGAACAGATAATAATGGGAATATGTTCCATGTTTGTATCTGAGATTTCAGGTTTGGTGTGTGGGAAGCTGCAAAATGGGTTGCACGGGTCCGTGAACGCACCATTTATGACCCTCAAAGTCCGAAATTGCTTAATTTAACCACTGATATAGTTGAGGAAAACAGGTATTTGCAGTGCAAGGAATCAGCACTAGAGGCTGCTTTTCTTATAAAGATGATGGATAGGTAAATTTCCTGTATCCTCCTTTGCCCTGCTATTGGATCTCTTGACAACCAAAATATCCAACGTCTTTAGCGAGGAAGATTAATCTGTAAAATGCTTCTTTTGGGGGGCTGTATTTCTATTGTGAAATCACAAAATCATCAGTCGGGTCATGCTGGATGAAAAGCTAATAGCGAATACCGTTTGAATCCTCAAGCAGATCAGTACTGGTTGGATGGTACCCAGATTAGAGAGTATGTTTTATGGTTCGTTAGCAATGAACAATCTGGCCATGTCAAGTGTTTCGCTTTGTAAAGTTAACCGATGGGGTTTTAAACGTTTGGACTTGAAAAGAAACAAACTTACTGTGTAAGCTATTAGTATTTGAATTATCCTTTTAATTTAATTTTCCCCAAGATAGTAAGATGGTAAAGTTGTTACCTATGTGGCTTCAATTCACGGCGGTAGGAAATCTGGGTTCGTTGTACTTATCGATCGACCTGGATGATTTACTATTTAAAAATGCATTTAGCTTTTACATTTCTATGATGTTGTACTTGTCCGCTTTTTCAGTTTTTAGAAATCCAGTCTCTGTAATCATAAAACAGCACCAGTGGTCTAGTGGTAGAATAGTACCCTGCCACGGTACAGACCCGGGTTCGATTCCCGGCTGGTGCACGAGTCGCGTATTTTACCTTTTATTTAAAAATAAATAAATTCATTTAGCCGAACCCGAACCTATATGGGTGGAATAAGGCTTGAATTAAATGATGATGGGGATGAATGATGGTTGCAATGATAACGATCAGGTGATGTTAACGGTGTAAAACATACTAGGGATTATTGACCTGTTTAGACGTTCCCGATCCGATCAATTAAAAAGGTCAGCGGTCGGCCATTTGGATGTGAATATTCACCTTTTAGTGCGAAGAAGAAGAATGCAACATGCACTGGTACTGGTACAGCCATTTTCTTTTGTCAGCTGTCATGGATCCTGAAAGGGGAGAGAGTACAAACACCTCAACGCCAGAGGAGAGGACCCACGCAACCTTTTTTGAGACATGTAACAAATCAATTATCAAAACCAGAAAGTGAATGTTAACCCCTTTATCTCATGCCAAACAGAACTCCGTGGGCAGGGCCCGGCAACCATTATTGATAAAAGAATGGAGAAAGAGGCCCTATAATCAGATAGATGATCAGCTAGTACTAGTACACTTTGGGGATCTCTCTCTCTCTCTCTCTCTCTGGGAAGGCGCCAAGGGGGTGAGGGAGAGAGGTTTGGGTTCGATGATGTACAAATAAGTCCATGCTTCTTTCTTTTCCTACCATCCAGAGTAGGCTGAATAGCAGACAAAATAGATAGAGATAAACTCCCTATCCCATTAAAAAAATCTTAAACAAAAAGATTGTAGGGTTATCTGAACCGAAAAAGCTTCCTGTTCATAAAACTTTCACCTTACATCGTTAGTTTTTTTTTTTCTCATTATCTCCCCATCTTCAGTTTTTTTTCATGTTTCTGAAGGCAAAATCAGTGAAACCTTCATTTCATAAACCGAGTACAAAATTTTACCTTATCTAGTGGTTCAGATTAAATTTTGGGTAAGCAAAAACGACTTCTGGTTGGCATGTTGCTTTATATTTTGTGTTCGTTTTGGATTATGTGACAAGGTTTTAACATTTAAGTAAAAAAAGAGAAAAAACAAGGCCAAGGATCCTACATCTCTCTTGGTTGGTTCACGAATGGATTGGATGGATGATCATCAATTTATAAAGGATATTTATCCTTCAGAAACATGAGCGGCAAGTCAAAACCCCCAGCAAATCACATGATCCCTATCAGTCTAACAGACACCAATAGTTGAATACCTTTAACATTTCTTTCTCTTTGGGACCAGTCGATCAACGAAACTGACACATACCCAAACAAATCTTTCTTGTTCTATTCTATGATCTATCTTAGACAAAATCCTTAATATTTTTATCAAACCGAGCCCAAACTCCATATCACAGGTTGCGGATGCATCCGTGCTTTGAGTTTCCTTAGCTTAATAAGAGCCCAAGCAAACTTGCAAAGGAAACCGTATGGTGCAGAAATGTGCTTCGTCAGGTATTATCCTGACATCCTGTAAGGCTGTAAAACCATAACCATTTTCTGCCTAAATGAAATATTATCGTCATTCGGACTATCAAAACTAAAAAATGTATTACTTCAATATAGGCCACGGACGCAGGGTAAATAAAATTAACAAAATACTGTGATTTTGTGACTAGAAAAGCATGAGACCATTAAAACAATGGAGCTTCTTCGGCCAATTTCAGTTCTGCTTGAAGTTCCAAATGGCTTCCTGAGATGATACAAATTTCTAAACCAAACTCTACATGAACCCAAAAGAGGGTTAAAAAAATACATTCCAAGGAATAGAGAAAACAAAACAAGAATAAACAAATTCACCCGCTTGAATGGGAAATATCTCAAGGAAGAATTGGAAGGAACAGGCTGGGCTTCTGCATCTCCCACACCCTGACTACCAGAACGTGCACCTCAAACAATAGGGATTACATATATCCACGTGAGGAGGGTGCTGCAGCAGGGGAGGTGGGATCCGTCTTCCTTCAAAGTTCAAACTTGCAACAAAAACATCCATACAGAAAAATCTCAAGTTTCTGAATCCTCTGGGACAGTGGGTAGCCTCTCCTCTTCCACAAATGACGGATTAAGAAACTTAGCTACAAAAGCCCACATCTTATACACATCTTCGAAGTTAGTAAGAAAGCCAAGAGATGCAGTTACAACTTCAATGCGGTGGAAGGCATTTTTGCTGTCAAGGTGGCCATTTGCTACTGCTCTGCACAAGACAGTGTCATCCAGGTCTAATTCTCCACGATGATGCTTTGGGCCGTCTACAATCCTTATATGACTAAGGAAGCCAATGCCCAAAGAAATGCCATTTTTTTCAGCTAGCTTCTGAACAATTTCTGGGTGGATTGTTCCACCATTACTGTTCCTCACATTGAAAGCTACAGCTGCACCCCTTTCATATTTAATCTTTGGCCCATATATGTCAACAAGAGGCGTTGCTTTTTCCCCATCTGAACCAGGCAATCGGAGTTGGAGAAGTGAGGTAACAAGCCAATTAATAAGATATCTCAGTCTGAGAGTGGTTTTGTTGAGACCCAACATGTTCACGTGGTCCAGATGTCGGCATACTATCTCAGGCTCTCTCCTGTCCCACTCTTGTCCATCCTCTTCATCACTTATGGAGTCATCATCACCAAGGATAGTCACTGAAACTTCCCCAGGCTCCAAAGCATGGCTTAGGCGTTCTTTACGGTTGTCCTCCATGCTAAAGGATACCCTCCGGCCCATGCTTGTAACTCTTTCATCCTCTTCCACACCAAAAAATCTACCTCCAGCAAATCTGTTACCTTCTCTTCTTCCCAGTAACCTGAATTCACCTTCTGTCTCTCTCCTTATAGCGCTTTCTTTTGTCTCTTGGCAAATTTCAGAGGTTGAGCCATTCTGAAGGCTATCATGCTGAATTCCAGATCCATTAACTACATGACTCAGCTTGGACCCAGTCTGCATTGATTCTTCTCTAATTTCAGATTCTTTTTCAATCTCCCTAATGTGCTCAAAATCTGCATTCCTTCCATTATCTCCTGACATAGGATCTATTTCTGCAAACTGCTCTTCTTCAGGAACTTCCTTGACACGGTCCAGTTCCTGTGAGACTGATAATACAGCTGCATCAAAAGACAGCACATGATCTTCATGCAATCGAAGATTTACCCGTCTATCCTCATAGATTGGGCTCCTAGATATCTTTGATGCTGCTTTGGGAGAGAACTGCTTATGATTTTTCCTCCCAGTAAAAAATGATGGTGGTAAGGGAGATCCCAATTTCGGTCTGTTCAACTGACCTGAATGGTCAGATCCAAATGGGCTCTGACCCAAATCAATCCAGAATGAGTTGTCAAGTGATTCGTCTTCACTGAAAACCGGGCTCTTCATGACCTCCCCAACTGAAATACTCTCTGCTTCTTCAAATATTGTGCTTGCACCATCCCTGTCTGAGCTATTATCTTGATCCAGTTCAGTCTCAAACACATCCCTTACCTGAGCAGAAGTGAATGCACCTGAAAAGGCTGGTAATTGTGATCCTCGACGAGTGTCGAGTGTCAAATTGTCATTCTCATCAATCCCTTCATCTTCAATTCCAGCCAATCCGTCAAGAGCATCCATAGAATCACTCAAATATTGTGGGAAAACCGGAATAATCCTCACCATGCCAGACCCAGTGCAGCCAGACTGGTTATGCAGGCTTCCCATCACTGATTTCTTGATGAGGAGGCATCCAAACCCAGTTGGGTCAGCCCCAAATACCCTGTAAAAGGACGTTATAATGAAATCTGGACGAAACAGTGACAAACCAAGAGAGTCCATGTCCTTGGGTCCCAATGAACCAGCATCAAGCAAAACATGCCAGTTATTCTGCTGAGCAAGTGCCATCCACTGGTAAGAATACTTGGCCCCAGTCACCCTAGACTGAACAGGGAACACAAAGAGTCCAACTGCAGAATCCTTCTTTCTCCTCTTTTTGTTAGAGATCTGCTTTCTCAATTCTGTGGAGCAGAGTTTCAGGGTTGGCCATTTAAACCACGCACTGTAAATCTTTGCACCTTTCTCTTTAGCCCTCTGAGCCATCCAGCTCACAGACTGGCTCTCGTAATCGAACATGGTTAACAATTTCTTGTTCGTTTGGAAAGGGTAACATTCAGCTAGCAGTTTAAAGGCAGACCCTCTACTGAGGGTGAAAACAAGGCCGTATTCATTCTCGGGGATGTTCAAATAATCCATTATCCTTGACTTTATATCGTGTTCGACGGTGCCTTTCTCAGCACCTCCATAGAGAACATGGTTGCTCAAATTCGCAGTTATCTCTGACAAGCTAAAGGCACAAGAGTCCCAATACTGAAGCGTCTGATAGTAAGAGAAGAGCCCAAAGCCACAGTAGTCGAGACATACCTTGGCCGCCGAATCGGTGAGGTGACTGTACTCGTTCGACCTCAGCTGGTCAATCTTCTCAGAGGATTGGAACTTTGGGTACATGGTGAGGAACTTGGAGAAGGATTCGTGAAGGTCAGGTATGGACTCTTCGGTTTCAAAGGTTCGCTCGGCTGCAAGGGATGTGGCGCGGAGGAATTCTTTCTGGGCATGGAGCCTAGCAAGGGATCTTGACCTCCCAAAGCTCCCATCTTGATTGGAGAATGCATCAGAATCTACGTCTTGCGATTTAGAGAGGGACCCATCTTCTGATGCCTCTTCCAGTGCTTCTCTGAGCTTGTTTTCCTGCAACTGCCGGAGGATCGAGGGCTTTCGCTTTTCTTCCTCTGTCAAACCAGAACCATCTCTTCTTCTGCTCTTCTTCTCCAGGATTAGGGCCGCACAGTGAGATATAGGTTTCCATAGTGAAAGATGCATGAATGCTCCCCTGTCACAAGCCAATCCACAGAAATCAAAACCAACCCGAGTTCATCCAGGCTTTAGCCCATTAAACAAAACTCTAACAAAGCGGATTCAGTTTCAGACCCTACCAGGTTCAACAGAAAGCAAAAGGTATCCGAGCTTTCCCAAAATCAAACCTCTGCTTTCAAAAATCAAAATCTTGGTGCGAGGAGGGAAGATGGCAGAGATTCAGCAACATTCCCGAACTTTAACCGGGTTGAGGGGTCTTTTACTTTTTATCCAAAATATTCAAACACGCAAACTCAAAATATTCTTCCATTAACGGCCACAACTTTAACTAGATCATGAGGACTTGGCCCGAAAGAAATGAAAAGGAAAAAGAGAAAGAATAGAAATCTGAAGAAGTAAAAAGGAAAAGAGTACGATGGAGATCTGTGTCCAATCCAACCTTCAACCGTAATTAGATAAAACCCTAATTTAAGACCCTGGTTCAAGAACCCCAAATTTAGGATTCAATTGAAAGCGGAACACATCGTCAACGACCCGGAAAATGATGAAAAGGTACCCCCGAGTTCAATCCCACAGAAAACACAAAGTCCAAATCTTCCAGATATCCCAACAAAAGCCACCAGAAAAACCAGAGATCAGTACGACCACAAAACTCGACGAAAAAGGAACAAAAAATCCAGGAAAACCCAAACCCAAAATCCAAAATATTTACAAGATCCCAGAACCCAGACACCAAATTCTAAGAAAACCCAAATTAAGCGGAACTTGTATGAAAACAGGGGAAAATTAAAAAAAAAAAAAAAAACCAGAGCACCGAAGCTGGAATCCAGAAAAAGTACCCCAGATCCAGCAAAGAGTCCAAAATACTCCCCGAAACTGTTAAGAAAACTCACAGTGGATTAGCAAAGTAAGAGGAGGCAGCACCAAATAGAACCCGTGGTCCTAGCCAGAATCTCATCAATCAAAGAACCCCATCAAAACCCCAGGGCCAGGGCTGGGAAGAAATAAAGCAGCGGTAGAAACAGGTCCAACCACCCCCTCTTCCCTTTCACCAACCTCTCTCACTCACTCAGCTCCCAATACCGAATTAAAGGCAAACCCTTCTTCCCTTCTACTTCTCATTACTTCAAATGGTCAATCCAAACATTTCTGCATTGATTGTCTCCTGCTCTTTTACTTCTCTCATTATGACTCTCCTTCCTCTCTCTCTCTCTCTCAAAAACCAATCCACCTCCTTCATCCTTATTTTTTTCCCTTTTCCTTCCTTAAATTTTAGTTTTTACCATCAGTAAATAGCAAAAGAAAAAAAAAAGAGTAAAGCATTGACTTTTTGTAAACCTCAAATAATGATTTTTTATTTTAAAATTTAATTTTTGTAATATAATTAAAATTAAGCACTATTTTGTATTTTCTCCTACATCACTGCCTAGGGAAATGCTTATTGGGTGGTCCACCCACTTCCTCCTCCAATTGGCATTGGGCTTAAAGTCAAATGAACTCACTTTGTAAAGCCATTTTCTCATTTCCTGTCTTAATAATGCTAAAATAGTAAATTTAGTAATACCCTCTCACTCCAAACTTTTTGTATTTCATTTTCCTTCTGAAGTTCTGATGGGCCAAAAAAAAGAAGGATTGTTTTTTAGGTTTTGGCATCTCTCAGTCCCAGGTCCCAGCTCAAAGCCTCGAACACAAACAAACAACTCGTGCAAGCAAAACGGGTGGAGACTGAGCCACGCGCTGAGAATGAAATGCTTCTTGATTGGGTTGACACTTGAGACTTGACAAACAAATTGGGATTATTCAATTCCGAGGATACCCCTATGGTGTGCTCAATTTAGACTTTATGTAGCAGGCCAGGGAGGCTGGTAATTCCGTTAGTTGCGGGGGAGATGAATGACTTTTACTAATTGGGCTGCTGCTAGAGCTAGAGGATTCTTTTTTTTTTTCCCCTTGGAAGGCGGTTAGAGTGGAGAGGGGGTAAATGCGTAATGTGTCCCATTGTCTGGATTCTTAAGTTATCAGATGAGATCAGACTTCAGAGTGTTTAGTCAACCCAAAATGGGGATTATCAAGATAAGGGCTTTACTATATATATATTTATTAAACAAGTGTTGAGATCCAACTCCTACACTTCCCTCGTCTCGTCTGCTGTGTCAAACTCAATAAATCAAATCAATCCAATTTGGTCAACGCTGGTTTTGTTACTGACTCCCTTTTGATTATTGATTAACAAACAAATTGATGAAATCTTGTGGCCTGCAAATCTGCAATTGCATCTCTCTAGTCTCTAGGCTAGCTTTATTAATTAGTTGCTTTATTGCAATACAGCTTCATAATCACATTTTATGTGCTAATTATAGTTTTTAGTGAACAACATGTTTGTAGTTAATTGCACGATTACTGGTAGTGGTACTTAATGCTTCACCATCACGAAGCTCCAAAAACTGCCATTAAATCTAAATTTATATTTGGTAACTTTGAAGGGGTACGCTTCCCAGTGGATGGTCGGGTCGCGGAATTCTAAATCCATTGTTTGTTTTTTTTTTTTCACCCTAGGAATTTCAATTTTATAGGGTCCTCTCCCTCCCAAGTCCCACCCTCACGTCTCACCTTCACACAAGGCCACAAGGGGTTGGGTAGTTTTTTCTTTTTCTTTATTTTTATTTTTTTGATTTCATGGGGTTTGGATAGTTTTCGCCTTTTCGGTAGAAAATAAAAGAAATGAAGAATAGCAGCAGTAATTTACTTAGGATTCCGATGAATTGCCGAGGAATTCCAAAATCCAAGTGAAGAAAAGACAAAATGAAGAGATGGCGATGATTTTGAGCCAAAACAAAATTTGATTTTCCGTATATCCCCTCCTCCTCCTGCTATCTTCATTCAAAGTAGGTGTCTACTGTCTACAACGCAGAAGAAATTTTTAACCAAGGAAAAGGAATCCCACACAGTCAAAACGGTGGTTGGTGTCTCTCTCTCTCTCTCATGTCTGTGAACGAGATGGGGGAGTGCAAGAAACGAGGTCGTTCAAAGCCCAACATCGCGGTCGCGGCCATCCTTCTATCTATACATTTCGAAAAACGGGATTTGCGGTTTCCGGTGAGAGTTGGGTGGAGAAGTAGAAGCGCCCAGTGGCCCAGTGGCCCAATGCCACAGCCACATCATATGTAATATATGTATGATGATGGTTAAAACAGTTAACTCACTTTCCTTTTCTTTCTACAGTGGTGAATTGACGAGCCAATTTTTTTAGGCTCCCGATATTTTGCTTTTACTGGATACTTTTGTCAATTTCATCTTCTGACTTCATTCATTTTCAACAACAAAACCCTTTCCTCGTTACCCTACAAAAAACATCATTATTGAACCTTGCTTCTGATTTGATAGGCTAGCTGATTCCGATGGTCAGATTGAGGAGAGAGAAAACAGAGATAATCGGCTGATGACATCCTCATCCACCTTGCACTATTCCATTCGTAGCAAGTAGTAACAACCAGAAGACAAAGAGCTAGCAGAGAGAGAAAAAGTAAAATTTCCATGAGGTCAAGACTCAAGATTGGTAGTCTCTGTATTTTATTTTAGTTTATGGGTATTGGCTCGCCGAGCTACTTTATGTTGATTGGGAATCAATCATATGATCATCCAGTGCTTTAAGAAGAGGGGAGTTCATCAATTCAAAGGAATACAGTACAGAGAGCCCCCACCCCCCACCCCCCACAAAGTAATTTTGGTATTTGATTAATTTTTCAAAGCAAGAAAGTATTCTTGCTTACTGCTGAAGGCTTCCTTGTATTGATTACCCATAACAAGAAATATTTGGAGCATCATGCTTAATTAATAGTTGGATTTCAAACTTGGCGACAAAACAAAATCAAGAATGGCGTACACGTTTTTGCTACGTATCAATTACTTCAAAATCATGGAAATGAAGAAATTGGAAACTGTGGCCGAGGATCTTTGGAACTAAGGCTGTGTTTGGTAAACTGTGGCCAAGGATGTTTGGACTTTTATATTTGACCCTTGGGTCTTTGACTTCAATCTATTAAGAGAGGCCCATGCATCTTATATCAAAACACCCTCTGCTTTATTTATTTTTTCAAGTTAAATATGGCAATTTTCATGAATTAATGCTCAGGATACAAGATATAACAAACAGTATGAAAAGTCAAGTCCAAGAAAGTGAGAGAGAGAGATCTTGTGAGGCCTTTGCAAATGGCGCAAATCGATGAAACGCTAAAAAGGAGGATCAACTCTCCAACTCAGATGACTCAACAAGAGACTTCCGAACTGAGTATCCCAACCATGAAAGTCAAATTGAAAAAATAAAAAGAAAAACAGAAAGCCAGATTTGGAGTGAATGGGTTTAAGAGTGCGAATTTCCATATATGCATAGCTTGTAAATGGATTTATTACCTAGGGCCAAGGATCAAAATTTTGTTACGTATCAACCTGTATCAGCAAATAAGAATCGTATTAGAGTCTTCTCGATACGTTCCTATAAAGAGTGTTTTGGGTCGGCAAGTGGTTCAAAGGGTAGATCGGCCTTAAATCGGTTCCTCTAAACTAGTTTTGAAAAAAAAAATAAAAAAATAGTATCGATACAGGCCAATATGCCCTATTGGCATATCAGTTTGTATTGATATTTTGAACCTTGCGTAGGGCTATTCATCAAATCGACTAATCCGATCTAATTTGACTTGATTTTGACTGTCTTTTAATTATTTTGGTTCAACTTTTATGCTAATCCGAGAGGTCGGGTAAGTTTTGGTTTAGCCATTTGTAAATCAATCAAAACGACCTAATCTAATCATAGATACATATTAATATTTTATATTTTAAATATATATATATATATATATATTTTAATATGGAAAAATGGAAAAATTCTCATATTTCCTAGTTTAAAATATTTTATATTGTAAATGATAATTTTTTAATTAACTTTTTTTTAATAGTACCATTACAATTATTTAAATTTAAATTTAATTTTTTTTATGTTTAAATCTTTTGAACCAATCAACCAAACCGATACAACCTGAGTTGGTTGATTTTCACCATTGATCAGTCGGTTTTGATTGACCAACTCCCAAATCAACCAGGTCAGTTCAGTTGGCTAAACAACCTGAAACCGCACCAAACCAAACTGACCCGTGAACACCCTATTTACTAGGAATGACAATGGGAAGGGGTGGGTCAAATTTTGCACGTCCTACCCCTTACCCCAAACTCAAATACCCTGTCCCATACCCCAACATGGCTAGAAATCGCAACGCCCTTGTAGGGAATGGAATCCATTAATTTACCTTGCATCGCCTCTACCTTACATGCAAGTCTTTTTTTTTTTTGATTTTCTTAAGTCTAACTACAATTATATTATATTATATTATGTAATGTAATATAATATAATATAAATTATGTTTATATATAAATATACAACTTTTAATTTTATAAAACACTTTTTGTTGGGGCAGGGTGGACAAATACCATTCATACCTTGTTCTGGTCCCGAAAGTTTTAAGTTTTCCCAAAACCCACCCCAAACCTGATTAATGGTCAAAAATCCATCCTTGACTAAAGATGGGGCAGATCTGAGCCCCATGGGGATAGGTCAAATTGATATATCTAGGGTTTATGAGTGCGAATTGCAAAATGTGTAGTGAGGTTCCAAATTGAGAAGTGATAAGGGATGTGAAATAAATGCAATGCAAAAAATGGTTAGTGAGCATGCTGAGCTGAATATAAATAATTGGCTTGACAATTTGCACTATTGGATGCGGGAGAGTGGACAAGCATATGGCGATAGCGGGACCATGATATCATATTCTTAGTATAGGATGTTAGCATTTAACTAAACTTAGCGGAAATGACCATTGGAGATTGGGGTATTTCATTGATAAGGCAAGATGATGGATGTGATTTAGCGAGATTTAAGGGTTTCGTGAGACTGTCTTCCAAATAGCATGTGATCTAGCTTAGGCTCCGTTTGGTTTGTGGGAAGATTTGGGTGGGATGAGAAAGTGTAAAAATTTACACTTCCATTGTTTGGTTTTATATATGGGAAAATAATGGGAAAAGCACTGTGACGAGCTACGTCTTCACCGGATTCATGTAAGGTGAAGAAGAGAGCTCCATGACTGCAGTGGCGATCAGAAAGAGAGAGGGAAAAATGAGGGAATCAGAAATAATGGATGATCGGAGAAACTAGTCAAAACCAGTGAAACGGTTGCCGGAGACGGTAGGAAT